AATGGGACATTTTCCAGGATAGACCATGTGCTAGGCCACAAATCAAACCCAAATACATTTAAAAGGATAAAAATAATAACAAAGGATGCTCTCTGACCAAAATGTAAAGAAATTAGAAATCAACAGAAAATTTGGGCAAATCACAAATATGTGAAAATTAAAGTATGTATTTCTGAATAACTAGTGGGTTGGAGAAGAAATTGAAAGGAAAATCAGAAAATACTTTGAGATAAATGAAAATAAAGCTACCACCTGAAAAAACTTATGGGATACAGTGAAAGCAGTACTTAGAGGGAAACTTGCATCAATAAATTCCTGTATTAAGAGAGAAGGGCCCTGCCTGGGTTGCTCAGTTAATTGGAGTGTTGTCCCAATACACCAGGGTTTTGAGTGTGATCTCTGATCAGTGCACAGACAAGAAGCAACCAGTGAATGCATAAATAGATGGAACAACACATTAATCTCTTTCTCTCCCTCCCTCACTCCCTCTCTCTTTCTCCCTTTCTGTTTCTCTCTAGAATCAATTTAAAAACCATTAGATCTTGAACCAGTAACCTAACCTTCTACTTTAAGTCACTAGAAAAAGAAGAGCAAAGTAAATTTAAAGCAAGCAGAAAGAAGGATACAATAAAGATTACCATAGAAATTAGTGAACTAGAGAATTGAAAAGCCATAGAGAAGATTCAGAAAACCAAAAACCAGTACAATCATACCTTGGTACTTGTCGGCTTCAGAACTCATCAAAACCTGCATTCGTCACAGTTTGAGGAGAAAAAAATATTTCAGCACTTGGCACTTGCTCAGGACTCATCACACTTCCTAGAACTTGTTGTCATGACACTGCCCTGCAAGAGAAAATGCGCCATCGTTTGGTATTCCTCAGTTTTGGTGCTGGTCTTGAGTTCCAGAACGAATTAATGAGTACAGAGGAACCACTGTACTTTGAAAAGGTCAACAAAACTGGTAAAACTTTAGATAGATTGACATAGAAAAAAAGAATACACATTACTAGAATCAGAAGTGGGTAGACATTACTACTGACCTTACAAAAGTTAAAATGATTATAAATAAGGGAATACTTTGAACAACTGTATACCTTAGCTTAGATAAAATGGACAGTTTTTTTAGAAACATAAAAACTACTGGAACTGGCTTAAGAAATAGATAATCTGATTAGACCAGAACAGATAGGTGAAGAAATTTATCTCGGATTCTGGCTCCTGGGGTCCGTGGCATTATGGATGAGACAAGACAAATTCATAAGGACTACTGAGGCCTGTGGAGGAAAGGGGATGGCGTGGCTTCTCTCTCAAGGGGAGAAAAGCCTCAGAGCACCTCGGCCACTATCTCAAAAGGAGAGCGCCTCAATCCTTGCCTTGACAGGATTTTGGGTTCAATTTTGCACAGGAATACAGAGTGTATATGTAAAGCTCATCAGTCATTATTAGGCAGAAATGATTAAACAATAGATAACATTCAAAGAACTCTGAGGGCTTATTCTGAATCAGGGTCAGATAGTTAAAAGGCCATAAAACTTTGGGGAACAAACTCACTTCCTGCTTGGACCCTTATCATTTAAATCGAGGGTATTACCAAAGTAGGTTTCACAGGATTTTATGCATTCTTTCTTAGGCCTGATCACCCTAGGTGAACCTGCCCTTTCCAGCACAGGGCCACACTCACCTCCAGCATTGTTTCAGGCTTAAGTCAGGTAGGGGAAGTAAGGCAACCAAGAGATTAGGAGACTTCTTCCAGACAAAATGAGGACTCGGCATGTGTCAAAGCCGAGGGGTGAGGGTCCACCACCCCCTTTTTCTATAACGCCCGAAATCCTTCCCTGGGGGCCCCTTCGCAGCTGTGCCTGTCTTAGGTTGTCCCTCTTTTGAGGAATCTTACCTGTCATTGGCTAGCCAGTCATCTGCCCAGGGCCAAGCAGGGTGAAGAGAAAGGGGGCAGAGGTGGTGCCCCTACAAGGAAGATAAGCTTTGTCTCCTAAGTGTCTTATGGTCCCAAGGTTCTTTACTCTGCCTTTAGCCATGGCAGATTACAGTTTCTGAAACCAGGCATGGCAGTTACTGACAGAAATTAATCACAGAATGGCCGTCAAAGAGATGTCCAGGCCCATATGATTTCACTGCAGAATTCTATTAATCATTTAAAGAAGAATTAATATTCCCCGGCTGGCGTAGCTCAGTGGATTGAGCGCGGGCTGCGAACCAAAGTGTCACAGGTTCGATTCCCAGCCAGGGCACGTGCCTGGGTTGCAGGCCATGACCCCCAGCAACCGCACACTGATGTTTCTCTCTCTCTCTCTCTCTCTCTCTCTCTCTCTCTCTCTGCCTTCCTTCCCTCTCTAAAAATAAATAAATAAAATCTTTAAAAAAAAAGAATTAATACTATTTCTTCACAAAAATTGAGAAGGGAAACACTTCCCAATTTATGAAGCCAGTGTTGCTCTAAAATCAAAGACATCCCAGGAAACTATAGACCAATATTTCTTGTGAATATGAACACAAAATCCTGGACAAAATAGTAACAAACTAAATTCAACAGCATATAGAAATTAAAACACCATTACCAGATGCTATTTATCCCAGAAGTGCAAGGTTGGTGTAAAGTTCACCAACCACTTAATGTATTGTATCAATAAAATACAAAAAAAAAAAACCCAGTCACATTGTCATTGCAATAGATACAGAAATGATAAAAATCACTTAAGAAACTAGGAGCAGGCCCTGGTTGGTCATAGCTCAGTGGATTGAACACAGCCCGGTGAACCAAAGGGTTGCCAGTTTGATTCCCAGTCAAAGCACATATCTGGATTGCAGGCCAGGTCCCCAGTGGGGCACAAGTGAGGCAACCACACATTGATGTTTCTCTCCCTCTCTTTCTCATCCCCTTCCTCTCTCTCTAAAAATAAATAAAATCTTGAGGAAAAAAAATAAAACTAGGAACAGAAGGGAGCTTTTCAACATAATGAAGGACATCTATGAAAAATCCAAAGGTACTTTGGATGGTAAAAGACTTGAACACCTCTAATAATAGGATTAGGTCAAGTCTTCACCTCTATTTGACATTGTACTGGTGACTCTAAACGTGGTAATTATGCAAGAAAAAGACATAGGCATAAATATTGGAAAGAAAGAAACAAAACTATTTCTGGCAAGTGACATGAGTTTATATGTGGAGAATCCTAAGGATTCCACCAGAATAGTATTAGAGCTTATAAGCAAGTTGAGCGATGTTGCAGGATACAAAGTCAATATACAAAAATCACTTGTATTTGTATAGACTTGTTATGGACAATTCAGAAGTGAAAATCAAGGGAGAAAATTCCATTTACAATAGCATCAAAAAGTTAAAATGCCTAGGAATAAATTTGATAAGAAATGTGAAACTGAAAATTACAAAACATTATTGAGAGAAATTTAAAAGATCTAAGTAAACAGAAAGCATCCCATATTTGTGGGTTGGTAGATTTAACATTAAGGTGATGATAGTCCCCCAAATTCATCTATAGATTCACTGTAGTCCATATCAGAATTCTAGCTGACTTCTTTGTAGAAATTGACAAGCTGATTCTAAAATTAATAGGGAATTATAAAGTATCCAGAAGAACCAATAACATTTTGAAAAGAATAAAATAGGAGGAGTTATCCTTCATGATTTCAAAACATTTCAAAAATGGTAATCAAGACTGAAATTGGCGTAGCAACATACATGCAGATCAGTGGAGTAGAATTGAGAGGTGAGAAATCAAACTCTTTATGGTCAACTGATTTTCAGCAAGTGTTAAGACTATTAGATAGAGACTAGTCTTTTCAGCAAACAATGCTAGAACAACTGGGTAGCCATATGCAAAAGAATGAAGTTGAGCCCTTACCTCATGTCATATAGAAAAAGTAACTCAAAATGGATCAACAGATATACATGTAAGAGCTAAAACTTTAAAACTCTTGGAAGAAAACTTAGGGTAAAGAATTCCTAATTATGACACTAAAAGTATGAGCAACAAAAGAAAAAAATAGGTTAATTTAGACTTCATGAAACTTAAAATCTTTTGTGCTTCAAGGGACCCATCAAGAAAGTGGAAAAGATAACCAGTAGAATGGAAGAAAATATTAAAAAGTCATATCTTATAAAGGTCTATTTAGAATATATAAAGACCTCTTACAACACAGTGATAAAAAGACAGCCCAATTTAAAAATGATCAAAGAATTTTTTTTCTGGTCCTGCCCCTGCTCCTCATCCACAAAGAATCTGAGGAGATATTTTTTTTAAATGGAGGATATACAGTTGGGAAATACACAGGTGAAGAGACATCTAGCCCACTAGGATGGCTGGAAGCCAGTGTTGGCAAGGATGTGGAGAAATTGTCAAATCTTATATATTGCTGGTGGGAATGTAAAATGGTGCAGCCACTTTGGAAAAATAGTTTGGCAACAATTCCATTCCAAGGTATATGCCCAAGAGGAATGAAAACATATGTTTGTGCAAAAATGTGTCCACAAGTAATTATAGAAGTGTCATTTATTATAGTGAAAAAGCAGAAAGAACCAAAATGTCCATCACCTGATAAGCAAATAGATATAATGGGCTATATTCATACAGTGGGGAATTATTCAGCCATAAAAAGAAATAAAGTACTGATACGTGCTGCAGCATGGATGAACCTTGAAAATAACATGCTAAGTGAAAGAAGTCAGGCACAAAAGATCACATATGAAATGTCCAGAATAGGAATGGGAGCTAAATGGTACACTTTTTGAAATGATGAGAATATATTTAAAAATTGACTGGGGTGATGGTTGCACATAGCTGTAAATATACTAAAAATCCAGTGAGTTGTATACTTTAATAAAGCTGCTACAAATCATTTCTGGTATCCCTGTGGGGTGGACCTCAGCATGTATGCATATAAAAGGCTGAGCCTTTAGAACAGCAGAGCACTTTACAGTAAGCTAAGCTCATCTGTTTCTTTCCTGTCTAATTTTTGTAGAAAACATGACTACCCCAGGGAAAGAGAACTTCCGCCTGAAAAGTTACAAAAATAAGTCCCTGAATCCTGATGAGATGCGCAGGAGGAGGGAAGAAGAAGGACTACAGTTACGTAAGCAGAAAAGAGAAGAGCAGGTGAGTGCTTTACTATTATTAATTCCTTTTAAAGAACTTGAATGTTCCATTTTATGCCTGAAACCACCTTCCTTTATTTCAATTTTAACAGTGTTTACACACACATACACACTCCATAGACACCATAAAATCAACATGTTTTGGGGGTGCGGGAAAGGGGATGATGAAAAGTAGAATACAAGAATGAAGAAATCTCTCCGGTTCCCATTTCCCCACTATAACCACTGTTTAATACTTCGGCCTATTTGTTTTAGTGTATTTTATTTCATTTTTCTAAAGTCATAACTTCCTTAAGATTTTGTGTGCATTTGTTAATGAATTTTCAAGTGGCCAAGAAGACATTGCCCTTCACTGTAAACTTTAATTTGAAACTTTGTAAACACGTACAAAAATAAAGAACAAATAGTTAACTTCAAAAAACCGTCCTCTAGGTTGAGTAAATTATCAACAGTTTGGCTTACTCCATGTGTGTCTGTCTCTACGTTTCCTTACTATGTAATATTTTAAAGCAAAAGCTCAAGGTATATGTCTTTCAGGACAGCAGAATGTTATTTTTATGTTCTTTATACCTTTTACTTGAATTCTATCATTTCCTGTAAGAAAGGCAAGGAGTTTTGTTTTTCTCTAATGTCACTTGGTGTAAAGCCTTCCAAAATATTAATATGGTGGGATGTGAAATGCTATATCCTTGTTCATAGTAATAAATTCTTTTGAAATGTTTCCTAGTCATATGTGTATTTCCAGTAATCCTGTAGCTCTTCAGGATGTAAGAGAAAATTTCATTAATCTCTGTGTCACACACCTCGTAAAATCCTCTTGAAATTCTTCATAAACAGCCTTTACAGAAATGTTGAAAGTATAATTGGGACACTTAGAAACTGTCCGTCTTGTTAGTTTGGATGACAATTATGCAACTTCCATTCGTAATTAAGTCTACATCATTTTTGTCCCAATGCACATTAAAATGGGTATAAAAATACTTCTCCAAAGTAAGCACTTTCATCATCCAAAAGTGTTAGCAAACTTTCCCAAAATGGGACTGAGTTCTTTCAAGTCTTCCAATGATGGTGTTTGGTAGGACATTATTTTAAAATACCATTTTAACGTAAGAACATTTCCAGGAGTATCACTCAGATACTCCAGAGAGTCTCACTCACCCTCACTTTACCTTCCTCTAAAAAATACTTAGTCCATCACTTTTGGGAAAGAAATTTAGAGACATGCTTAGGTGGATTTTGGTGCAGGGGGTAAGGAGAGACTTTTGAGGTTGGAAGGACCATTTGACCCTTCACACTACACAAGCTTCATAAAAGTCATATGAGTCAGACAGAACCCTTCATACCTGAGAAATAAGGTAATCTGTCACAAATATTTTGCAATTATAGTGAGCTGTTCTCAACATACAAGGTATAGGACAAAAGTAGGTTTACAACTGTGAGTTCACGAAACAGTTTATTCTTATATTTATTACTTATTGTATTATTTTCTGTAGGAACAACTGGAACAACTGCAAACCTACTGTTGCTCCACTCTGTGTACAGTGCTTTTGAGTAACACTGCATTAAATATTCCAGATAGTTAAAGTCCAAGAGTACATTACAACCTCAGTGTTTAGTTGGGCTGTAGATGTTTAAATCAAATACTATTACTACTGTTATTTGCAGGAGGCAGGCAAAAACAGTTTGTAACATAGTAACAGTTTATATTAAGCACAGCAAATTAAGTTTGAGTCTTCGCAATCTGCTTTCTCATCTTTGAAATAACCACTTATAAAATGACAGGTTTCTCTTGGTTTCTTGCAGTTTTTTAATTCATCTCTTTGTCTTATTTAAAGTGGAATCTTTTCTTTGGATTAGCTTCTGTATTTGGGGTAAATTTCAGAAATCACAGCAGCATTGTGATACTTATATTCACATATGTAAATGAACATGTGTATGTATGTATGTGAGAACAAGTATAGGTCTGATATAACCACCAGCCTACACACCATATTTGGCATAAAGCCATTTGAAGATGCAGTAATGTCATTCTGTCTTAAACAGTTTTCATTTTAAATAGGTTTTTCATGTTTACTTACCTGCCTGATGGCAAAACGCTTTATATTCCTTTTTTTTAAAAGATTTTATTTATTTCGCCCTGGCTGCTGTAGCTCAGTGGATTGAGCACGGGCTGCAAACCAAAGGTTGCCAGTTCGATTCCCAGTCAGGGCACATGCTTAGGTTGAAGGCCAGGTCCCCAGTGGGAGCCGTGTGAGAGGCAACCACACATTGATGTTTCTCTCTCATTTCTTCCCTTCCCCTCTCTCTAAAAATAAATTTTAAAAAATCTAAAAAAAAAAGATTTATTTCTTTTTAGATAGGGGAAGTGAAGGAGAAAGAGAGGGAGAGAAACATCAATGTGTGGTTGCCCCTCAAGCACCCCCTACTGGGGACCTGGCCTGCAACCTATGTATGTACCCTGACTGGGAATGGAACCAGTGACCCTTTGGTTCTCAGTCTGGTGCTCAGTCCACTGAGCCACACCAGCCAGGGCAAAATGCTTTATATTCTTAATGTATAAATGGCAAGTATGGCCCCATGTATTTGAATAAAAACATTTATAGTTGAAACTCTGTCATCATCTTCATTGTATGAGATCTAAAAGTATGCTTAGGCTTTAATATTTCTGTGACAAGTTTCTGGAATATTGCTCTACTTAAAATCTTAATTTTGTTATTTCATAAGTGCCAGCTTGTGTAGGGGGAACTGATAATACTAATCAGGCTTCTTAATATCATAACAATACTTGTTTCATGCCTAGTTTATAAAAAAGTAAACCAATAAAATATAGATTCATTTAAGTACTGTTTATCTTTCCACAGTTGCTTTGTCATCTATCTGGGAAAGTCAGGCTTTTTTAGGCCAGTTGAACAGCTATATTGGAGGCTACTACAGGAATTAATGCTGCTAATTATATATATAAAGTAGCTGTTTCTTTTAGGATTATCCTATTAGCAGACAAGCAATTAATATCTGTTATCTAGGCAGCACTGTACAAATGCTCTCTGTCTGTTTGACACTGACAGACCAAACTAAAATTTATTTTTTTGGCAAAAAAATTTTACCAGTTGATATTCTAATTGAATCAGCGTCTATAATTTTATACATATGAAAAGATGAACACTTTACATTTACTATTAAAATATTTTTCGACTGACTTCCGGCAAGATGGAGGCAAAGGTGGACACACCGTACCTCCACACACAACCAAGATTAGAACAACAACAATTTAGAGGCAGAATAACACCCAGAACTGACATAGAATTTATCTGAATGGAAGTTGGACAGCCAAGAAGTTGAAGTAGACCAGTTCATCCAGACCAGTATGAGGGGCGGAGACGAGCAGCAGCCTGCACGGGTCCAGGAGCACGGTGAACAGGGGGAACTGGGCGCACAAGGCTACCGGGAGCGTGTAAGCCATTGGGGGGCACGCAAGATCGCAGCGGGTGGACCCTGAGTACACCAGCGACAACTGGCGGACCCAGTGAGGCTGCGATTGTGAACCAGGGCAGAGCGCACAACCCAGGATCCCAGGGAAGGGACTGAGACCCCAGGAGAATGGAGCTACCGCCATTGTTCCCTCCTGCCCCTGCCCCCGCCCCCACATACAACATCACAATCTAGGACTGGGGTGCTGAGCCCCGGTGAACACCTAAGGCTCTGCCCTTTACCGTAACAGGAGTGACCTGTCTCAAACAGAAAAACAGATCAGTGCCCCAGGGCTAATCCTTTTGAACGACCAAGAGATTGCCAATCTATCAGATGCACAGTTCAAAACACTGGTGATCAGGAAGCTCACAGAATTGGTTGATTTTGGGCGCAAATTACATGAAAAAAATGCAGGTTACCATAAAAGAGATGAAGGAAGATGCACGGAGAACCAATAGGGATGGGAAGGAAACTGGGACTCAAAACAAGAGAGTGGACGAGAAGGAAGAAAAAAAAATCAAGCAGGAAAGAATGAAGAAATAAGAATTCAAAAAAATGAGGAGAAGCTTAGGAACCTCCAGGACATCTTTAAACGTTCCAACATCTGAATTATAGGGGTACCAGAAGGGGAAGAGGAAAAGCAACAGATTGAGCACGTATTTGAACAAATAATAAAGGAGAACTTCCCCAGTCTGGCAAAGGAAATAGACTTCCAGGAAATCCAGGAAGCTCAGAGAGCCCCAAAGAAGTTGGACCCAAGAAGAAACACACCAAAGCACATCATAATTACATTAACCAAGGTAAAAATGGAGGAGAGAATCCTAGAAGCAGCAAGAGATAAGGGGACAGTAACCTACAAAGGAGTTCCCATCAGACTGTCAGATGATTTCTCAGAAGAGACCTTACAAGCAAGAAGGGGCTCAAAGAAATATTCCAAGTCATGAAAGACAAGGACCTACATCCCAGATTGCTCTATCCAGCAAAGCTTTCATTTAGAATGGAAGGGAAGATAAAGTGCTTTTTCAGATAAGGTCAAGTTAAAGGAGTTCATCATCACCAAGCCCTTATTTTATGAAATGCTAAAGGGACTTATCTAAGAAAAGAAGATAAAGAAAAGACATGTATAGTAAAAGGACGGCAAACTCACAATTATTAACAACCACACCTAAAGCAAAACCAAAAGAAACTAAGTAGACAGCTAGAACAGGAACAGAACCATAGAAATGGAGGGCGCATGGAGGGTTAGCAACAGGGGAGTGGGAGGAGGGGAGAGGGGGGGAAAGGTACAGAGAATAAGTACCATAGATTGTAGGTTGAAAATAGATAGGGGGAGGGTGAGAATAGTATGGGAAATGTAGAAGCTAAAGAACTTATAAGTATGACACATGGACATGACTAATGGGGGGGGATATGGGTGGGAGAGGGTGTACAGGGTGGAGGGGAGTGAAGGGGAAAATGGGACAACTGTAATAGCATAATCAATAAAATGTATTTAAAATATTTTTCATTAAATAGATGCTTATTAGTCTGAGT